CTTCCGACGCTACCTCCCCTAGGAGGCATCAATGGTAGCATATAAAAGGTATCAGATCGAAGTCTGAATACCCCAAAGGATTCTTAAGATGCTATGTTAGGGGATGAACTCACTGCACCATTCATCCCAGAAGAGCCTCCTAAAGATCAGTGAGTGAGATGAAAGAGAATGTAGAAGAGATGATGAGGAAAGAGAGAATCTCTCGATGCTTGACTAGTTTAGGAGATGGAATTGTCTCTACTTCTACAATTACTTGTTTTGTGAAAAAAGGCAGTTTTTAGGTTCCCATATTTCAACCATTTGACCCTAGATCATTAGTATCAGAAGATTTCCTCCTTGCAAAGGAGATATTGGTAATTGAACTAGGCAAGAGACCTTTGATTCCTTTCATCAGGTGAGAGAGGTTGAGATTCCTCGATAGAGTCCCAGTCAGTGATTCAAAAAGCGGACCGCCCAACACCTAGGCGACCGCCTAGACGGTCCGAAAGGCCTGGGCAACTAGGCGGCCAAACTAGGAGGTTTGTCCCTGGGCGGTACAAAACCCGCCTAGGCGACCGCCCAGCGTCCAGCCCAGGGGCGGAAAAAAAAATAGTGAGGCCATTTTACGTCATTTTTTTTTTGTTTTTAAGGCCCAAAAATTAAGATTTTAGGTTCATTTGAAACCTAAACCTTGTTTGATCCAAATTTAGAGAGAAAAATCCACCAAAAACCTAGATTGTGGTGAATTTTTTAAGATCGAAGGGTTACTCAAAGTTAACCAAAATTGATCAAAACATCACCCATTGGTACTATATTTACTTTTTGATGTTTTGCAAAGTTATTAGGGGGTGTTTTAGAAGATTTGGAGTATTTAGAAACATCTTTGAGGTGGAAGTTTGAAGATTGAGCAATCAAACTTATTGCTTTAGTAATTTGCAATATTTTTTAGATGTCTTCTTCGGGATCTAATATGAGTGGTGATCCCAGTTGGAAATATGGCTATAACCCAGATCCTAATGATAAAAATTGCATAAGATGAAATTTTTGTGAAAAATGTTACAAAAGGGGGTATAAACCGATTCAAGAAATATCTTGCCGGTATTAGGGGGGATGTTGCCCCATGTAAAAAGACTCCTGATGTTGTTAAAGAGGAAATAAAGAATTTTATGAACTTGGTGAAAATGAAAAAAGATGAGAGATTTGCCTCTATAGCAGAGATTAAGTCTGGGGTTCGAGTCAATTTTGATGATGATGATAGTGATGAGGAAAGGATTGGGGAGGGATGTCAAGAGGCTGAGCAATCCATTATTAGGGGAAAGGGGAAGGGAGTTGTAATTGCTTCTGGCTCTAAGACTAAGAAGCCTCGTGTTAGAGGCCCTATGGATAGTTTCGTACCTCGGCCTGACCCTGAGATTGCAGGAGAGAGAACAAAAAAGCAAACCACCATTGAAAATAGAATAAAAAAGAGAGAGATAGAGCTGTGTATTATTTGGCTACATGGTTTTATGAGGCGGACATTCCTTTCAATACCGCTCACTTAAACAGCTTTTATGTTGCAGTAGAGGCAATTGGCCAATTTGGCCCTGAGTGGCAAAATATATATATATATATATCATCCATGCATTATCCTAGTTAATTGGGGTCGGCAACACACACACACACACATATATATAGATATAGGTATTGTTTACAAAGAGACCATTTATCTTCGGTACATGGAGGTCACAATCATTCTTGCCCCTTAAATTTCAATATGGGTGATTGTAAAAGTGTCATTGAATTAGACACAGTTCCAAAAAACAATTCTCGGACTTTGTGACTCACCCAAGCCATCCAATTTGACATTTAATGAGTGGGACTGATTGTGACCTCTATGTACAAAAGATAAATAGTCCCTTTATAGACAATCCCATATGTATATGTATAAAGAGGTTATTCTAGGACACAATGATGAACTTAGAATTCATACCCCAAATTTTTTTACAACAAATTCCCCTACAAATACAAAAGTTACATTAACAATGACTTACTTGAAAAATTTGATAATGGTATTTTTGTAATTTAAATTGCTTTTAAAGCGAATCATTATTCAAAGAGTCTAAGGAATCCTTTTTTAATTTGAAATTAAGTTATGAAGGGATTGCAAAAAGGCCAAAATTCCCTTTCCAAAATATACGAAATATTTATAGTAAAAGGTCATTTTTTAACATGTAAGGGCATATTATAGTCAAAATGTTTGGAGTACATACATATATACACCCATCGAATGAGTGTAATGGAGATGGAACACACACACATACACACACACACATATATATACACATGTGAGACCAGCTTTGCTCTATGGGGTGGAATGTTGGGCGGTCAAAAAACAATATACTCATAGAATGAGTATAACGGATATGAGGATGTTGAGATGCATGTGTGGCAAGACAAGAAAGGATAGAATTTGAAATGAATATATTCGGGAAAATTTAGGTGTAGCACCAATAGGCAATTAGATGAGAGAGAGTAGGTTTGGATGCCATGTGTGGCGCAGACTCAGTACAACACCTATTAGCAGGTGCAAGTTAGGTCAAGTGGAAGACTCAAAAGAGAAATTGATAGGCCTAAGAGGACATGGTTGGAAGCAGTGAGAAAATATGGCCATTAAACAAATAAAATCCCGGACCAAAATTCATAATGCTGCCTCCAATTAGTTGGGAAAAGGCTTTGACAATGATGATGATATATATATACACACATTAGACTCCCCGATCCCCATATATATTATGATATAATAATACGTTCCCTTAGTTGCGTTTCGGGCACCTTAACCATGAGGTGACCACCCAGGTGCCTCCTAGGTGGCCAAGACGGCCAGGACTGATCACTCTTGGTTCCTCTCAATGTTCAAAAAGTCGGATTCGGGTGCCTAGGCGGTTTGGGTGTCTGGCCACCTTGGCAGACGCTCAGAGACAAGGCGCCCTTACCAAAACATAAAAACAGGGGACTTCTTAGGGCATGGTTTAAAGCCTTAGGGAGTTTTTAGTGCAATTTCAGACCTCCAAACTCCTCATGATCATGAAATAGACAAAAACATAATAGTACAACAATACCTTACTACAATGAGTACAACCACATAACATATTTACGGATGAGACAATCATACAAGTCTTAACCCATTACGATATCACAAAATCAATTATTTATCAAATAAATTAAAAAAATAAAATAAAATATTAAAATAAAACACATTGTACAAAAAAGGAATCAATTATTCATAAAATAATACAATATATGCTCAATTTCATCGTCCAAATGAGAAAAAAATCAATTAATCGCAAAAAAAATCAATCTTTTAACTACAAACATGTAAATATATCGCAAAAGAAAAAAAAAAGAAAAAACACATGATTCATAACATAATATATTGTAGCAAAATAAATCAAAACCCTCTTTCAAATATGATAATACTTTAAAAATATCAAAATCAAATCGATGTCGATGCAAACCTCGCCTTTTATGTCACCAAAAGTTCTCAAAATCAACTACTAGAAGCTCCAAATCCACCCACGAATTGTTGCCTTCGTTTTAGGAAGAAATCAAAAAAATAAGAAATTTATCGATCTTTCGATAAATCACAAAAGACGGGGGGGGTTCACCCTAAAAGCCACGGATTTTCTATTGGGGGCTTAAAATACCCTCTAAAACCCTTTTCCCCTTTTTTTAGAGGGGGAAATTACATTTTTTACCCTGACCGAGGGTGTTTTTCCGCCCACCCGCAAGTTGTCACGGGGCAGCGCCTAGGCGGGCACCTAGACAATAGCGCCTAAGCGGGCGCCCAGAAACAGGGCACATAATGACCCCACTCAGACAGCGCCTAGGCATTTTAAAAAAAATTTGCCTAGGCTGTCGGGCAGCCGAATTTTCGAGCATTAGTTCCTCTCTACAATAGTGCTCTTGGTTTAGTGAAAAAGAACATTTTTCATTACAAGACTCTCTTCCTCTACCTCTACAATTGTTTGGGGGGGATATGTTTTGTTTTATTTTTTTGAAGAATGTGCTTTTTTGTTGGAATACTTTGGTGAAATTTTTGGTATAATAAACATTCTTGTTTAATTTCCACTCTTGTAAGCTTATCCTAAAGTCAAAATTCAAAGATTTTGAATCACACTGATGATAAGGGAAGTTTCAAAAAGGTTTGAACTTTGAACAAGAAAAAGATTTTTTTTATATTTTTTCTTGAAAATAGATAAAATCACCATTTATATTGGTTCTATAAAAAAGTGATTTTTTGAAGACCTTTCAAATAACTTGAAATTTTCGATGGACTTCAAAAAATAAGATATTTCCTTTTCAAAAGAGTGTTTCAGTCGGAGACTTCTTAATTATGCTCCTGCAGTTGTTTTTGTTTGGCCATCTAGCATCAGATGTCTAGTCCCAAATCATTTAATCCTTTATTTTGAGAGCTTGGATTGCAGAACCACAAGTGCATGGGATTTGTTCCAGGATCATGAATCCTTTCATTATCAGGACTTCCTCATGTGACTTCCAAAATAAAAAAGCATTGACATCCTCATCCAAAGCTATTTCAGGAGTAAGTAATACAGAATATAGAATTAGCTTCCTTGGGATCATTTATGGAAAGGATGGACGAGCAAAATGTGGCCCATATCATTACAAAAATCTAGTTGACAATATTGTAAGAATCAAAAAAATAAGGATCAAAAGATTAAGGTAAACTATGTCTTATATTCAGTCTATATCTTCATTTTTATGAGAAATTTTATGGATAGTCCATATATTGAGTGTTAGGAATAAATATGAAAAAGAGAATTAATCCTTGAGAATGGCCAATGAAAAAATAATATCTTATATTCAGTTGCAGATTATCACAGCACAAATGCTTCAACAAAATTAACATATGAAGGCCCAGAATGGACTACAAAGAAAACAATGTCTTATATTCCGTTGCGCATTATGACACCACAAATGCTTCAACAAAATTAGTATATGAAGGCCCAGGTCAAAATACTCACCAAAGAAGAAAAGCCATAAAATACCTGGTATTCTTCTCTCCGATGCAATTATTCTGCAGTTTACAAAACTAATTTTCAAGGAGATACCAAGTGGATCGAAAAAATCATCTGCAACTATGGAAATGAAATAGACTGTCCAAGGACATAAAGGCACAGTAGAAACCAACCATCCACCCACAATGGTGATCAAAACGGGCAACACAGCGGTCACATATGCTGCAGTGCTTGGACCTTGCAGGTCTAAAGCAAAATACAGATTCCATCAAAGAATATAGCCATAAAAAAAAACAATGAAAAAAATCGAAACGCGGTAATATGCTCGCAGGGGAAAGTATCAATGGACCAATGTACTATAGAAAAACCATAGCCCCTGGGTCATCCTCAATATTTATTGAAATGACAGGTGATGACAGAGAGTGAAGGAGACCCACCAGAGCAGGACAGGACCCCAAGGGTTGCATCCTCTCTCTATCATCACTCATCATCTCAGTTAACAGTGATCATCCAATGGACTGATTTTTCCATAATGCTGTAAGTTACAGCAGACTATCCCTATGTAAAATGTAAGTATGCATGTATGCATGAAAAGAAAAACCTCGTGATCTTGCATGTTGAACATTGTTTCTCCATGAAAATGATGTTATCGTAAGGATAAGCTGACAGGTATGCAGAAACATTGTCGGCTTTAACAGTGCCCGGATCAGAAAAGCTGGTCAAAACGAAGAGTCCGACACCCACAATTACGGCAATAAATGCTGTGTATCTGCAGCAACAAATGGAATATCTCAGAGAAAGTCATTCCAGAAAGATTTCAATGATTCTCAGTAATGTCAGAGATCCATTAAGGATATTTGTGTGGTACCTGTGCACTTCAGACAAATAATAACCAGGAATATAGCGAAAGGAAGACTTTATAATAATAAAATACATCCCTCCAATAATTGCTAGGTATAGTATCTGCAATGGGAAACATACAAAGAAAGGATCGAATTAGTTAACCAATGGAACATACATGTATAGAAGCAATCACCATCATCAATAACCAGATCACGACAGTGTCAAGACAGCCTGTGAAAATTACTCAGCAACACAGTGAAGCATGGAAATGTCAGCAATTTAAAATTTTATAATTGAAACTGTATAAAGCAAAAGAAGAAAAAAAATGAAGAAAATCATAATGTCTATAATCCATATCCACGAGTTTACTCATGTGAGAGTTCGTGCAAGACGGCCCAACGTATTGCAAAGGGTTGGTAATATTGTCCTGCAAAGTAGCACTTAAAATTGCACCAGCCCAAATTTTTTTCATGACTAACTAACTCATTTCTTAATATTGGTCCTAACGTTCCATGAGGATGGTCCACTGCATGGCCTCAAAAGAAACTAGCAAAGGGAATACTAGAGAGAGAGTGGCAAGCAAGGTAAAAGAGGCGAATCCTTTCATGTCTTCAAGAAAATCAATATAAAGTAGATTCATTATCATCATCCAAGCCTTATCTCAACTATTTAGGGTTGGCTGCACGAATCATATTCCGCCATTCTGCTCTATCAAGAGTCATACCCTCAGTAAGATAATACATATAAATCCAAAAAATGAACTTCCAACTCCCTCTATCCAAGACTCCAACAACAATCATGTCCAATCAGCATCCCATGAGTAAGACGTTCTGTATCAAACCAAGGCTTCTGAAAATATTCAAACTCGGGTATCTTGTGAGTTATCTGGCATCTACAGGCCCCAAGTGAAACCTGGAGTCTATACAAAATAAGATAAGCTTAACAATAAAATCCCAATATGCATACTTAGACAACTTGCTCAATGAAGTATTTGATGGAAAATTTTTGAATTTTCCAAACTAATGCTAGTTGAATCAACATGGAATGCGTACGGGTTTAAAATTTGATGACTCTACAAACTATTAGATAAGAAACATTTATTTTGTTTTTGATATGTAACCAATACACTAGATACTAAACGAGAGGAAACAATGATATGGATACTTGCCCAAAGCACCATTATCAAAATATGTAAAAGACAACATACTATACTCTCATATATAATAACATAAGCACCATATAACAAGTCTGTTACCTGCAAAATTGGGTTTGGTCGGTCACAGCAATAATGCTCAACAGAAAGAATAGCATTCTGGCCCTTCGTACCAAATATAAGCATCACAAAGCGTCTGCAGCCATCAGAAGTAGGTCAAGCTCTACAGAACTGCATATTTTTTGACAGATGTAATGGACTTTGATAAGACACAACAAAAGAAAAAATAAAAAAATATATATATAAATAAAAAATAAATAAAAAGTCAGTTCCTGCTTTCATACACAACAATGGCAACATCGGTGACTGTAAGGTAAAATCTCTGTCAACAAATAAAGAGCATATGCATATGCATAAATCTACAGATGTGATATGCAAGGATAATGGCAGCAACAACCAAAAATTTGAAGATGAGATGGAAAAGTTTCAAATAACAATAAAGCCATATTATTATACCCTTCCTAATGTGGAGCTTACTAAGGCCACACGCGATTAGGTAAATTTCCAATATCGTTTGTTTTGAGGAATATGTTGACTAATATTATATATAGGCTAAAGAATTACATAAACTGAAACTAACCAAAAAAAGTAACCCACAAGTTGGGTGCACTTACAACCAAAGAAAAGAAAAGAAAAGGAAGAAAGAAAAATAAAATAAAAACAAAAAAGACAAGGAGAATCTTCAGAGGGCTTAGACCTCAACGCCTTCAAGCAGACTGGGAACCACTATAAGGTGAGAGGATGATAATTCAGGATACTGATGGACGGTGAAGTTAGCAGCGGCCAGGCAGTGACTAACAATGCTACCATGGAAAGAAGTGCTAAATGGTTTGGCCACCAGGCAACCTGATGAAGAGGCCCACTACTGTGAGATTAGCAGCGGCCAGTCAGAGTAAGCAGTGACCTGGAGAGAAGTGCTAAACAGGTTTCACCACCAAGCTTCCCCATGAAGAGGCCCACTACCATTGAATTGAATTGCGAGGGGAGTTGGGATGTATCAGAGATGGTCTGCCCCTGCAAACTGCTTTCTGCTTCTGATAAGGGCCGATGTACAGATTTCAAGCTAAAGCTTCTGCTCCTGCTGAGGACCGTTGTACTGTAAACGAAAGATAATTGTGTAACCCAAGGCTATGGGCCGTTGTAACCACCGTGAAGGAAGGGTAGAACAAAAGTAAGGCTGCAGGGAGGCTGCAGGGAACTGAGAATTCCCAGAAATTCTCGTGAACGAGAGTTAGAAAAGAACGAAATGAGAGGGGGAAGGAAGAGGTAGAAAAAGGAGAGGTCTAAGAGAGAGAGAAAGAAAGCAGAAACAGATAAGATAAAGTATGAAGACCGAGAAAGGAGAGAAAGGGGTACCAAGAAGTGAGAGAGGTGAGAGACAGAGGGGAGAATGATGAAGGTAATTAAAGTAAACTGTTAAGACAGACCAGAAATAAAGAGGTGGAAGAGAGGGGGCGAAGTGAGATGATTGTATAGAGGAGAAGGTAGAGAATGAGGTGAAGAGATGATTAAGGTGAAAACAAAAGAAGGAAGGGAATGGAAATGAGTAGCAGACTACGAAAGAGTGAGAAAAAAAAGGATGAGAAATTTCCTCTTTTCCAACACCTCAAAGTAGATAGAGAGAGAAAGAATAGGATGAGAAGTTTCTTCTTTTCCAACACCTCAAAGTAAGAAGATAGAGAGAAACACTTAGATTTTTTTTTTTTTCCTTTTCTTTTTCTTTTTTTTTTTTTCCTGGAGCAGAGGATGGAAGGGAAGAGTGAAAGAGAATTAGAGGGAGAGAGACGGCCGTAATGTATCAAGGAGCTGGCAGAGTACCTGCACCCAAAGCAGCACCTTCCTTGGCCAAACTGTCCGCCACTGTGTTGGCCTCTTGGTAAATGGGTGAGAGTCTAACTTGCGTGAGGCTTCTGCAAATGCTTTGAATTAGCTCAAAGACTGAACTGCGTCTTCATGGGGGCTCCTTAAGGTCAGAGACCCAAAGAATAGTATTATTAGAGTCCAACTCTACTATCAGCCCACCTGAGTAGTCTTCCATAAGAGCCACCTTTTTAATCCTTCCAAAAGAGCAATGGCCTCTACTACTGTGGAACCTCTAATTCCTATGAACTCCGAGAAAGTCCAAAGGGTTGAGTCAGAGTTTGAAAGGATCCCACCAATGCCAAAGGGGTCGGGGTTTCCTAAGGAAGAGCCATCTGTGTTTAATTTTAGAAAACCTAGAGGTGGTGCCCAAACAGGCCGAGGTCTAAGCGAGGGGGGTGACAGTTATTCAAGAAGTGGGAAATAGGGAGGTTTGCAAAGATAGGTATGCTTTTGGCCCAGAAGGAAAGTAAGGATGCGATAGTATCAAAAATGGAGTTTTGTGGTTTAAGAACACCTCTAAATGTCGTTGCATTCCTTTCTTACCAAACACTCCAAAGTAGGGCCGCAATTGAGATACGCCATAGTTGTTTTTCAGGGGAGGAGAAAGGGGGGGAGTACAGAGACTCAAAAAGGTTTTCCCGAGATGGAGGCGTGACCCAAAGAAGACCTAAGAGGTTCAGAAGGGATGACCAAAGGCCAAAGGTGAATCACAGTGGATAAATAAATGTAGAATAGTCTCTTCTTCTAGATGGCAGAGAATACATCTATTTGGGAAGGAGACTCCACGACGTTGCAATTGATCAAGAGTTAGTGGGGTTCTGAAGCATAGAGTTGTAGAAAGAGGACACAAAGAAACTAACTAAAGGGGATTCAAACCATATAAGGGCATCTGAACAGTTAAGACCATTGAAGACCAGTGCTCAAAAGAGCTGACCACCCAACACCTAGGTGGTCCAGAAGGCCTGGGTGCATCGCCCGAGCCTAGGCGGCCAAACTGGGCCGCAATTCCTGGGCGGTCGCCTAGGCGGGCACCCAGCGCCCAGCTTAGGGGCGTTGTATTGATTTTTTTTTTAAACATAAAAGGTTTCAAGGATGGGTTTTAGGTTTATTTGAAACCTAAACCCACAATAATAACCCATTTTTTAAAGAAAGAAACCTCAAGAAAACTAAATTTTGTGACTTTCATTGGATCAAAGTGTTTCTCAAAGTTATGAAAAACAGATCCAAACATCACTCAGGTAGATTTGATTTAATTTTGGAGTTTTATAATCCTATTAGAGGATGTTTTTTATTATTTTAGCACCAGAAAACATGTCAGATGTGGGAGTTTGGAGTTCGAGCAATCAAAGTAAGCGTAAAAATTCATTTTTTAAATTGCTTGTTTTATTTTGAGATGTCTTCTTCATGATCTAGTTGTAGTGGAGATCCGGGTTGGAAATATGGATATAACCCGAATCCAAATGACAAAAATTTCATTAGATGCAATTTTTATGAAAAAGATACGACAGGAGGCATAAACCGGTTTAAGAAACACCTTGGCGGTACTAAAAGGGATGTTGCCCCTTGTAAACATGTTCTTGAAGCTATCAGAGAGGATATTAAGCAATATATGAGTTCTGTAAAACAAAAACAGAAACAAAATCCTTGTCATTTGAATAGGTCTATTTCTGCTACTTCTAGAAGAAGAGATCTGAGTTGGAAGTATGGTTATAACCCAAAACCAAACGATAAAAATTACATAAGGTGTAATTTTTGTAAAAAAGATACCAATGGGGGTATTAACCGATTCAAAAAACATCTTGCCGGTATTAAAGGGAATGTTGCTTCTTGTAAAAAGGTTCCTGAAGCTATTCAAGATGAGATTAGACAACTTCTGAATTAAAAGAACCAAAAAATGAGCCTTGTTCTGTGAAAATATCTTCTTTAGGTTCTTCTAGAAGTGGTGATCCGGGTTGAAAGTATGGTTATAACCCGAATCCGAATGACAAAAATCGTATTAAATGTAATTATTGTGGAAAGGATACTAATGGAGGCATTTACCGGTTTAAAAAATACCTTGCCAGTATTAAGGGGGATGTTGCCCCGTGTAAAAATATTCCTGAGGCTACCAGGGAGGAAATTATACAATATTTGAGTTCGAAAAAGCACAAAAAGATAGAAAAGTGTAGAGCAGCCAAGATTCCTAAGGCCTCATCTGCACATACTAGTAAGAGGAGGAGCAAGAGGCAGATTCAAAAGAAACAAAGGAGGACGAACGTTATATTGAAGAGGGAGATGACTCTGATGATGATGGCCTCAATTATAATATATAAGATGAAGCTTACCCTATTCCTTCTGATGATGATGATGACTAAAAAGTGAAGAATCTTAGTGTTGAGTGTTGACTATTGTGTCCTCGACTTTATATTTTCTGAACTTCTATATATTTTCTTTTTTTTTTTTTTAGTTTCTACTTTCTAGTTTCTAGTTCTACTATCTAACTTTTGTGTGTGGAGTCTACAATGTATCAGACTATCAGTGTATGTTTGTATGGTTTTACTGTTTTAGCATTGTATGAAAATATGGATTATGGGTCTTATGGATTATCAAAATTCTCTTCTCGACTCCTATCTTTTTTTTTTTAACTAGGATTATGGTCTTATGGATTATCAAAATTCTTATGGATTATAGTCTTATGGATTATCAAAATTCTTATGGATTAATCATTATCAGTCTCATCAGTTTTTTTTTTTTTCAACTAGGCCGCCCAGGTTCTGGGCGCTCGCCTAGCCGCTAGGCGGCCTGGACCCCCATGGCCGCCTGGGTGCCACCTAGCGCCTTTAGAAAAATTGTTGAAGACTGGGTGCAATAGTTGGAGTAAGGAGGTAAGGGAGGTAGTTCCTACTCTGAGATATTTCTGCAAAAAATGGTTGTCCGGACTATATATTGAACACGCCAAGTTCTACATATTCAGTTATAGAAGCCGACTTATTGCAGGCCAAAGCATAAAGAGAGGGAAAGGTGATATTCAGAGGGGTGTGACCTATCCAAAGGTCAATCCAAAACTTAATACGGTGGTCATTGCTAGTTTGAGTCTAGTATGACTCCATAATGCATTCTTAGGGGGTGCAATGCATTTCCAAACACCTGAAGACCTATGAGATGGTGTTATTGGCAGCCAATCATCAGAACCCAAACCATACTTGTCCCTGATGACATGTTTCCATAATAGAGCATGGGACGGGGAGAATCTCCACCACCACTTCCCTAGGAGTGCAAGGTTCAAAGTCCTAA